TGTGGCCGCTCTCTCTCTCTCTCTCTCTCTCTCTCTCTCTCTCTCTCTCTCTCTCTCTCTCTCTCTCTCTCTCTCTCTCTCTCTCTCTCTCTCTCTCAAATAGACGCTAAAACACAAACATGTACACACACACACACACACACTCACTCACATCGCACCACATACGCATGCACGTACGCACACACACACACACACACGCACGCACTCGTACGAATAGTCATTGGACGAAAATGGAAAACTTTCATTCTCGCTCTGATGGTAATGACTGAACAGCTCGTATCGATGATCATATGAATGTATTTTTATACGACCTTTGATTCTTGCTTTTTGGAAATATAGCATTTATATTCACTTTTAACAAATGTCTGGAATTCTGAATGTAATGAATGTTTGGTGTCAGCAATGATCCTCTTTGCTGCTTTTACAATATTAGTATATCTTTTTAATCTGAGTGAAAAAGTGGAATGATTTATTAATAACCTGAACAGTTTTCGCTATCACTCTACGATATTTAAAGTTTTAATCGTTGCCTCTCAGAAAGTTTCCGTCATACATGTATTTCAACTGTCTATCTTATGCAGTTGCGAACGCTGTAAAACCTCTACTAAAACTAAACTAAACGACTGTCTATTTAGAATTACTTAAATTTGTCTGGAAAAAATAACATGGGCTTAGATTAGCCCTTTTGACAACTCTGTCGACATTTTCTTTCAAAGACAGCTTATTACTTGTATACATACTGAAATGGTCCGTAAGTATCGTGTGTGCCTGTTTGACAGTTACTTCTAAGGCTTGTGCGTTATGGACAAAACCATCTAAAATCAAATATCTCTTTGGTTTTGCTCACATTTTACTTTCAGAAAGTTGTCTCCTCATCTATTTGAACACTCGAATTTACTTTTTTATCGCTGGGTATCTCATTCTAAAAGTACCTTTTCTTGAGTCACAGTGATACGCTTTTCAGTTTGAAGTAACTTCTTTCGTAGCAAATATAGTGGCCAATTGTACATCCACTCCTTTTTAAAAAATTATTTTTCTTTGCATATACAGTACTGTAAGGGTCTAAAGTATCCTCATGTTTGTGCTCAATCCTCAGTTCTCCAGCTCGAGTACCCTGACGTTTTTATTTCCCTTCCTTCCTGAAATGATCATGGTGAGATTTTTGTGTGTGTGATAGAAGTAGGCTACAATAAATTTACAGTTGAACCTGCTCTTTAGGGCATATCTGTCCGTGACAATCACCAGTACAAATGTACAAACAACCACTTACCACTCTCTAGAAAACTATAGGCAAAACTTTAAACTTCTGAATTCTTGCCTTTGTTAACAATGAGAAACTGTCATAACAAACATTGGGCTCAGTTCACGAGTATGATACCCTTTTCGTAGAGAGTACAACAGAAAAGCAATCGAAGCCCAGGCCATTTTACTTTTTTAGATTTTTTTTTTCTGAACCTCTGTAGCGTTGGTGGTCAAACTGTCAGACAGTTTGGCTCACAATGGACAGATTATGTGTTTGAACCCCATTAGGGGTCCGACGTTGTACCTTTGAGAAAGGCTCTTTACTCAAAATTCTCTTCTTTTCACCCAGGTGGAAATGGTACCTGCTATGGACAGCAAAAGATCTTGTCAGAGTTTGTTAATTTGATCACCTAATCTATTGGCTGCCTTGCACTTTTCTGATTCCAAGGAAGTTGAGAATGTTTCTGGGTGGTCTATAGCCTGCTGCGGTAATAATAACAATTATAAGGCTCATTGGGCTTGCTTTTGAAGGGGATATGCGCAATACTATTTGTTATGATTAACCTTAAACGTATATTTCTCGTTCAAATAGTCACTGACTCATGCCACTGCTTGAAAACTGAAACAATGCGTTATAAAATCGGTTCACATATATATAAATATATATATATGAACATAAACAAGAACATTGTGCATGTAGCTTGGATTCTTGATTTCTTAACCAATCGACTTCATTATATAAAATTAAATGGTGTAAAATCCGACCTAATATTCACAAACGCCGACGTGCCCTAAGGTTGTGTAATCTCCCCTGTCTTGTTTACGCTCTACACCAATGACTGTACTTTTGATAACAAAAACATCAAACTAATAAAATTTGCGGATGCTTCCACTCTACAAGGCCTTATGACAACAAATGAGAATGAATACAGGGACGGCTAATGTATTTACACATTGTTGTGAGAACCACTTCTCTTTACTACATGTAAAAATGAAAAAGGAATTAATAAGGGACTTTAGTTAAAAGACTAATTGCAAACACTATTTATTAAAGATGAGAAGGTGGAGGTGGTAAGCCCTTACAAGTAAACTCGCCCAAAAAAGTCAGGGAACAACTTGTGTTTTCACCTGTCAAATTTAAAGTTCAATATCTCACAAACCCGTTAAGATCAGTCAACCAAACTTGGCACACGCACTGACAACTAGACACAGTTTGCCTGTACAGCAAATTTGCCTGCACCAGTTTCACAGAGACGGCCCAGGGCATTCTGAAACACAGCCAAAAAGCATGAAAAATGGGCTAAATTTCTCTACTTCAGCAACATTGGCATAGGGACTGTTAGCTAAAAATAAGCTTGGCACGTGATAAACAGATGTCTTAGCTGTGATAATTGCTCACTTATAACCCTTTATAAGTCAGAGTTTTTCGGCCATGTTTCATTACAACACGATAGTCCAACTACGCTCACTGCCTGACGTCCACAGAGGACGAGCCCTTGCCTGGCTCCAAGATGGCTCCACGTTCCCAGTCGTTGCACATCGACTTGGGGTGTCCACATCAGTCATATACAGGCTGCTAGAACTATGGTGAGCAACCGGAAGGGTCCAGGACAGGCCTCGACCCATTGCCGCCCCGTTTGACCAACGGCAGCATCCACCTGTTCATCGTCAGACAGGTCGTGACGTCACGAACCACTACTGCAAACGGCATCAGGGACCAGCTACGGTGGACAGCAAATGTCCACGAGAGCGAGGAGATGGTAAGGAACCGTATTCGTAGAACCAGGTTCGCTTCTCGTGTCCTTGACAAGCACCCAAGGCTCACGCGCTCAACAAAGCAGCTCGCCGGATGTGTTCTGCTCGCCATTCACAGTGGACACGACGTCAGTGGGACCAGGTGGTCTTCTCGGACGAATCCAGATTCAACTTGCTGCGAGCCCACGTCTGGAGGCGCCGAGGAACGCTGTTCCACCCTGAGTGCATCCAGCAGGTGGCGCCCAACGGTGGAGGGTCCGTTCTGGTGTAGGGAGGCTTCTCAGCTCACCACAAGACCCCCTGTACCATATACAGGGCAATTTGACCGCGGCAAGGTACAGGGAGGAAATCCTGCGTCCCCTTGTTGTTCCTCTCCTGCAGCAGATTGGACCCTAGGCTGTACTGCAGCACGAAAACGCTGCGCCACATCGCGCACGCATCGTGGGGGACTTCCTGCAGCAGCGAGCTGTCACTCGCATGGACTGACTAGCTTATAGTCCGGATTTGAACCCAATAGAGAACATTTGGGATCACATTGACCGGTGGAGAAGGGACAACCACCCTCCTGTACAAAACCTTCAACAACTCTTGGGCTGCCTCGTCCAGGAGTGGCAGAACCTACCGCAACAAGTTCTCCGAATGCATGTCCTGTCCATGCTTTGACGCTGTGCCGAGTGTTTGGTCAAACGGGGTGGCTACACCCACTATTGACAATATTAAAGAAGAACTATGGCTGTTCAGACTTTTGAAATCCTACCAGTGTGATTTAAACTCATTTTACATTAATTTTTGGATGTTGTTGAAATCTGAAATTGTACACACTTAATCTAGAGAGTCGAAAGCATCTTTTTCGAAGAAATGAATAAATTCGGTTCCACTCTTCAGTTATCTTTCTTTGAATTTTTGTTCCTTAACTTTTTTGTGCGAGTTTAGCTTGGTGTAACAATCAATAACAAACTTGACTGTCATTCCTACGCTGCTCTTGTGCATAAAAAAGTAAATCAAAGAATGTTTCTTTTATAAGGAAATTAAAAAGTTTCCTTTTATACCATTCTATGGTTGAAAGTGTGATATTATTTCATATTTGCTGCTGGGGTGGGAATTGTAAGGTGAAAGATAAAGAAAAATTTGACAGAACCATTAAGAAAGCCAGCAAGATCTCTGGATATGATTTTAATAGAATGGATGCAATATTAAAAAGATAAAAAGCATTATAAACGACCCCTTTCTTCGAAAATTTTAAGATCACGCAGCGGCAGATATGTACCTCCAAAAACAAAGAAAGAGAGAAGTTTTTACCATCTAGCATAAGGCTTTTGTCAGAATGAGCATAGATGTGTGTTGCTCTTTTGAGTATGTATCTATTATATATATAACTCCAAAGGTTTTGTAATGAAATTCCTTCATGTGGTTGAATGATGCATCTGATGTGAATATACATTTTGTCAGCTGTACTTCTCTTTTCATATTGAATTTTAGTTAGAGCAATATAAAATTAAAATTTTTTATGTATAACTGCATGTGTTTTTACGGTAGTGTACAGCCAAGAATTCCCTCTGGGATAATAAAGTATAATTTAAAGTATCTTATCTTTAAAAAAAAAAAATTTGTTTGATATTTATATATATTTATATATGTTACAGTCAAACCCAGAAACTAGTCATTCTCAGGAAATGCCTGAAAATTCAGTCATTCCCAAGTAATTCCTGCTTTGATCGGGCATTTCCAGGAATGCCTAGAAATTTTAGACACTCTTGGAGAATGACTGAAAATGAAAGCCTCAGATTTCCAGCTTTGCCTGGTTGTTATTTTGACCTCTAGGCAAACCATTTGACTATCACTCAGTGTTATTTGCATTGTGACAGTTATGGTTTGAATGCGGTGTTGATTTAACTGTGTTGAGCGAAAGTGAGGAGTAGCGAAAGTTACAAACCTGTAACCTGTCATTAGATATTCACTTTATAGTTAAGCTTGAATATGGCTGAAAATCCTTGTGAAGAAACTTTTACAAGAAGGCTTTTTGAAAAGTATGAAATTACCTATTACCCAAGACAAAATATCAGGAAATTATACATCAGTTGCTGACGACTTTGGGTGTAGCCAGAAAAACAGCTCGACAGTACAAGCTTCAAGCCAGGTCAGTTTTACCTATTGTTTTTAACTGTCTGTGTGTCTGTCTTTCTGTCTGCCTGCCTGTGTGTGTATCTGTCTGTCTGTCTCTCTTATTCAATGCCGCCGTCAAACGATCACCTTACCAAGCGCTGCTGGGTACTGAACCAAGGGTGGGCCTCAACATCTATACCAACGAAAATGCTAGGCCAGTTTCAGTCAGGGGATGTTTTAAGAGCCTTTGCCCAGCAAACAGCTCTAGCAGCTCGTTCTCATGTCGACGAAATCACTGACGTTGCTGCTCATCTTGTCGACGAAATCACCGACGTTGTCCAAGTCACATAATTTGCTGCTGCTAACGGGCTAGCCACAAACCTGAATTATCCTCGTGTCGACCAAGTTGATGGCATTCACACTGTTGAAAACGTGGCACTTCTTGATGCCAGACAGGCTCAAATACACTTTCATGGAGAGCAGAGTAGGAAATTCCAGATGGAACAAGCAGAACGGATGGTAAAAAGAAGTAGAATAGAACTCGCCCCAGGCCAGAAAGGTGACAATGTTGCCATTCCCATTCCTCTTGTTGATCGGGGCCGTGGCGACCCACGAAACATTCTGACTGTTGTTTTGGACAAAAATGACAACAATAACTACACGCTGGCTACCAAACATGGAATCTTAAAAGGGGCAAACAGCAGGAACGAATTTGAACTTTGCCCTGGAAAATTACTTCTGATGAGTGATGTTAACTGCACCACACAAGTCAGTTTAAGAGAAGCGGTTGTATTTGGCTCTCAGTGTGGCGGTCAAGGTTACATTAAATGTAACTGTTCAGGGTCAAAGAAATGTCAAACAAACAGATGCAAATGCTTCAAAGCAAAGCTCAAATGTAATAGTCGTTGCCACCAAAGTCTCAACTGCAAAAACAAATGAGCTCATGTAAATGAACATTCTATATTTAGTTATCACTTTTTATTATTAAATTTGTTTTCATTAAACGGGATGAATAAATTACCGCTTGCATCCTCTGTCATTTACTTTACATCTGTCATTCCGCCATTTTGTTTTTTTCCGATGGTAGTCATTCCAAGGAAATGCCTGACGGCCTATTTCAGTCATTCTCTGAAAATGACTAATATTTTTTAGGCATTCCTGGAAATGCCTGATCAAAACAGGAAATTTTTGAGAATGACTGATTTTACAGACATTTCCTGAGAATGGCTAGTTTCCGGGTTTGACTGTAACATATATATATATATAATTATATAATATTCATGTATATTTAGTGTATATAATAATACAATAAATATATTTTATATATATATATATATATATATATATATATATATATATATATATATATATATATATATATATATATATATATATATATATAATAAAAAATGGGGAATCGGTTTTTTAAAAAGTAGGTTGTTTTTTATGCACCATACAGAGCAAAACTATTCTAAGATGAATGTCAAACAAATTCCTTTTGACCTCCAAATATTGTGTCCAAATTTGAATTCCAAAGCTTCAGTCTGGAGGAACATTTTTTTTCAAATGTAAAACTAATTTCTGGATCACTCTGTATTTATTGCTTATAATTCATTTCTATATTTCCTTTTATTTCCTTATATCTTTCTTTTAGAGTTTTGGATATTCAGAAGAAGACAAAGGGAAGTATGGTGGTTATGTTGCTGGCTGTGTGTTTGCTGGAAGAGTCTTTGGAAGGTTTGTCTCGCAATGTTTTGTTTAACCCTATCCGTGCGTCGTGTTTTACTATCATATCCATACGACGTGGGGAACTCTGTGTCACCACTCTCCAAAGGAGAATTTTACCCGTTAATCCGATCCGTACGCTTTGCATAGCAGTCTGTCAAAATGATTTTTTTAGAAATACTGAAAGTTTCAAAGAGATCTTCCTACTAGAAGTATTCTAAAATGTGAAGAATACAACCCCAGGGGTACAAAACTACCCCAGGGCGTACGGATAGGGTTAAATTTATCATGACATTAATGGTAGATTTGAATAGTAGCAGAGATTATTTATAATCTTTTTTTCCCTTTCTGTCAGATAGTTCACACTCCTCCACAATAGCTCCCTTGGCCTTGACCTGTCACTCAGTTCCAATTTACCATCCTTTCCACTATCAAAAGGCATGCAGTGTTGTAACCACTTATGTGTGTTTCACTTTTGTTCTGGAATATTCCATGAGTTCAACATTTATATACAGTCGTTTTAAGTAAGGAAAATAGAAAAGATGTCTTTCCTAAGTACACAAGGTTCTACCTGGGAAAGTTTAAAATTGAAATGTCCATTTTTTTGTCGGTTTTAAGTCCAACACATTACCACTATAAGTTAAGACTTGGACGTCTCTTTATGATTAATTTATTTAGCATTTAACCCCCTAGCTTTGAAATTTATTGAGTGATTGGCAGGTGCTTTGGTGTGGTTTGCTTCTTCTTTCCTATCAAACATCTATCGTCCTTATCTCTCTGCCTTGTTTTTTTTTGTGTGTTTGCTACTCTCTTGTAGCACTTCAAATCTTCGACGCTTATATATCTTATTGTATTGCAAGTGCTGTAAAACTCTTCCTAAAACTAAAAATTTGAACTTTCTGAAAAAATCCCCCCACTTTTTTCTGATAAACCTTTCTTTATTTGTATATGAAACTTCTTTACATACTCTTTGAGAGCATATTCCTAGGATTTTTGTTCAGCATTTGTTTGTAGCTTATTCTAGTAGGCCTACTGTGTGGCATGCTCAATGACTTCTCTTTGAGTTGGTTCCATATATAGTATTTCAACATATAGGCCTAACTGCTGTTGAGATTACTCTGTAAAATTTTTTAACTCATTCGCTACGTATTATTTTCGGCTTGTGGACGAATTCTTTTCGGGAGGGCGAAATGAGATGATGACTAGTGCGCAGTTCACAGGTCTTTGGGGCCATAAATTCAAATAAATATCAACATATTATATACCAACATTTTCAGTATGGTTTGTAGAATACATCTGCATTATTTATTTGCGTATTTTTCAACTTTGGTTCCTGTAAGAGGCGATTATGCAACACAATTGTGGTTGGATGCGGATAAAATTGGAAAATAAAAAATTTATAATCTCAGGTGAAACTAAAAAAATATGTTTGCACCTAGTCAAATGATACCTCAAAATAACCATAACTGTATATAGAACAGGAAAATATTGAAAAATGTGCAGTTATTTACATACATTCCATATATTTGTACATTTGGATCATAACATCCGATATTGAAAAAAAATAATTTTGAAAAAGGATCACAAACAGAAAAAAATACGCGTAACTTATATGGAATTATTCAGAATTGCATTTGGAATAAACCTATACATGTCTTGAGTGGTACTTTTTTTTTATTAATTTCACCCAAAAGTAATGATTTTGGGGAGAAAAAAATATTTTGACTACTAGATCTAGGCCTAGATCTAGCACTCAAAAATATTGATTTCTCAATTACAGTGCACTGGCAATTTGAGTCCAGTAGTATCAATATTATAAAGAAGAGTCCTACACTTCTTTAGTGAGCAAAATAATGATACATTTTGTTATGTAAAAGTACTAAGACTGGTGTCTGGGCCATAATTTGGGCTTCGCGATAAAACAAAGTCGAATAAACTACGAAATCATGTTTCAAAACTGAATCAAAACTTCCGATTTTCGGTGGAAACGCTTGACCCGAAAGTCAACATTATATTATGACCTTTATTTTAACATGGATATGTGGATTGGAATAGAAACCAAGCTAAAATTGAACGTCGGTTCTCGAGCCGCCGGGGGCGGCTTAGCATACTGACGGCACTTGAGCCGCGCCGCCCCCCCACGGCTCGGCGTAGCGAATGAGTTAAATAAAGTAATTAGCATTTTCATGGTTGGATTTCAACATGATATATCAATCTTTTCTCAATTTTCTTCACTTAAAACTTTTGAACTCTCTATTATTGCAGTGGTCCTTATAATGGAATTGACATTTAGATTTTTTTCTCTGATTTAAATTTTTTTAGAGCTCTTCTAGAAACAAAAAGTTTATTTTGAAGGCTGAGCAGTTTGAGCGCATATAGAAAATAGACGAATAAAGATGAAAATAAGATGAATAAAGATTCTAGGAAAGATAGGAAGAAACAAAGTTTTCTCTTATCTTTAGACATCTGTGGTGTAGTATGATTCCAAAGTATCTTGGTCTTTCTGCTGGAACGTTGTGTCCGACTCAGTCAGGGTTAGCCCCGACAGGAAGGGCCAAAGCCTGCTTCCTAAATGATTTAGATTGTGTAAGTGGGGGCGAAAAAAATTCCTACGTTAAAAAAAAAAATTATGATTTTTAGTCCTAATCTGTGGCACATTTGTCCAGAATGTAACTGATTACATCACTGTGTCCAGCAGTGATAACAGCAAAACTTTGCATGTCAAAATTTGGATAAAAGTAAAGTTTGGCCCCTCGTGCTTGACTTCTTGTGCATCATCTGGGGTCAGTGTGGGGTTGTCACCATTTAGTCACTGTTTTGTCTCCTTTCCTTGATAGTTACTAAGGTATATCTTGCCACCATGATACACAAAGACCTTGGGGGGGGGGGGGGGGGGGGGGGGGCTAAGACTGCACTTTAAGCAGGAATTATTTTGGTGTTCTGCAGTGTGTTCTGGGGCTGGCTAGCTGATCGCCGGGGCCGGAAACTTGTACTACTCATCACCATTGCACTCAATGGTCTCTTTGCCTTCCTCTTCGGCTTTGCCAAGAACCTCGGGCTGGCCATGTTCTTCCGCTTCATGTGTGGAGCTGTCAATGGTAAGTGTTATGTTGGTGGTTTTTTTCCTCATAGTAGCCGATTTCTTTTACTGAGTAGGTATTTCTTCATCTGAAGCAAGACAAACTAATACGCTTGAAGATTATACCAATAATTCCATATGCCCAGAATTTGAAGAGTGCCTGATTCCACTGCATAGTGACACATTTTATTATTTTTTTAACTCTTTGTGGGCTGAAAAGAATGACGTATCATTGGCCTTTCGTGAAAAGTGTCCAACTCCTAATTTCTTTCTGATGTTGGCAAATCTATTTCAGAGCAATGGGGTGAAAAGGCCAACAAATTTGTACCTGGTAAAAAATTTTGGTTCATCAGAAAACACATTTAACCATTTTTTAACAACACATAGAAAGGATTTGTATTACATTTTAAGTCTAAATATCTTTTATTTATTATTTTTGCAACATGTACTTCACCATGCCAGAAATTGGGCCAACATACTAAGGTTAAAGCTGTTTTTCTCCAAACTTTGTTTTGACACCCAATGTTGCAAAATTATATGGCATATCTTTAAAACTACCGGTACTCTAGATATTTTAAAGATTTAAAAAAGCAGCGTGTTCAGCATTGAAATTACTACAAGAATTTGACTTGTGTCAATATCCATAATTTCTAACCACTGGGACCTTTCTCCAGACACACACACACATATATCATGCGTCCAGTCTGAAGAAAATCAGGATTTTTTTATTTGTCCAGGAAAAAAGTATATTTTCAGACTTACTGTAGTTACAGATTGTTTCTGCCGGAGGCCATCTAGATATACAATTGAACCTGCCCATGACGACCACCCGTTGTCAAGGAGAAAAGTTGTTTAGGCAGGTGGTTCTCTTGGCTGTGTCATTATGATGTAGAAAAAAGACAAGGTTGTTTTGGACAGATGGTCATTTGAGCAGGTTCAAATGTAGCTATTACTGATAATAATACATGTAGTTCGTCTATCGTGAACTGATGATGACCCTACACATCCAAGGAGGAGGAGAAAAGAAGTTATAGACCTTGCAAGCTGCCACAGGTTGTGCGAACAAAATAAAGGAAACAGTAGAAAGCTATGTGGTGTAATGGTCACAACCACCACTACTCACCGAGGATTGTAGCAACACCTTTCCCTTTCCTAAAACTATTATACTACTATGTATATCACAAAGACCCTCACTGGGGAGCTTTTTGATAGAAGAATCAAGCTCCTCCTGTGCCATGTGGTGTTCCCATCTAATTGTTCACCATCCCTAGCGTTCATCTTTTCCCTCAGATTGTAAAAAGATTAATATGTCCAGACCTATTTCTCATTTTCATGGAAAGTTTTTACGTTAAAAAGATGCACTAGTTAAATACTTAGTAAACTTATTGAATACTGTCCATTATTAAGGCTCTCCAGCTGTTATTGTTCAGCTGGCGGTCAATGAGTTCTAAATATATAGACAGAGAAACTGTGTTTTGTTATCTTGCCTTCTAGTATTTTTGAACAACCATATTCAGAATCAGCAATCAGTTTTGGAGGCCGCATTTCTTTGCCTTGAATAAACTTTTGTTAAGTGTTTATTTCCCTTTTACCATTGTGAGGCATCATGGTAAAATCAAGCGCTTGTCAAAATAGTGAAATCGAAGAAACTGGCATTTTCCCACCAGTTTGTTAATTTTTGTCCAATTTTTGGTTTTTTAGCTCAACATAATTTATGTTCATTCAAAAACACATTTCTGTGTGAATTTTACTGTAAAACGTTGATTAAAGGAACAAAACAACAGGATGGGAGCAGGTGTGGCCCCACTAAGTGCAGGAGGCAGAACCTACAGGTGTGTGGTAAACGCTATGCTCCTCACCAACACACCCCACTCTCCGTTGAGTGGGTGTCTAATCTCCCTAGCAACCCTTCTTCTGCCACCAACAAACTCTATCCTGTGGCTGAGAGGAAGTGAACAATTTCAAATATACTGTGTATGATGATGAGCTGGGAGAGATACCCGATCTGCGCTCTGAGCGTGAACCTCCTGGTAACAACGCAATCACCCAGGACGTGACGATCCAGTGACTTACACATGAGGTCTGGTCAGCTCACAAAAGACGATGGGTGTAGCCAGCAGTCACTAGTGGCGGGGAATGAGCATTGCAAACCTTACCTGGATTACGCTACCACAAGACAATCAGGGTTCACTGCTAAAAAAAAAATCCCAGTACCCCCAATCCTCAACACAGAGAGCAGTTGGTGTAGCAGAGAGAAAAACTGATACAAAACACGAGCAGACCAAGCTCAACAACTTCAGCAGGTGGTTGGTCTTGGAGACGGAAATGTTATCAGCTGGGGACAACAATTTATCCAGGAGAAAGAAAACTACAATTCAAAGCCAGGGGTACATCATTCCCCTCAGCTTTGGAAGGAAAATGGTCTGTAAGAAGGAGGCTTGGAAGTGAACTCTCGCGGAAAATAGATGTACTTGGCCAATTGCACATAACGACAGTACAGCTCATCACATCATACAACAAATGGAAAATCATCTTAGAATTAGGAACTGTACAAGTGGTACAGTGGAATCCTGTTATAACGAGAGGGAGGGACAGGAGCCAAATGTCCGTTATAGCAGGATTCTCGCTATAAGGGATCCAGTAATAAATTCAAGGGAAACTGTAAAGTAGGCCTAATCTATGAGTTTGGTGTTCTGTTTATTTCCTTTTGCTATCTCCCCTGATGATGATTTTATTTCAACATGACCTCTAGGTCTTACTTGATCAAAAATCGAATTAGGTTTCTTTCTCTAGCGCTAGATCTAGCGATGTTGACTGGCAGCTCGGCTTTGGCGATCAGAAAAAAGGGCTCTGGGCTAACTCGCCCGTTGTTTTTTACCCCACCCCACCACACCCTGTGGTGCATTCCGTCAGCTTGCGCACGTCACACATTCGCTCCATCAAATAACTGTGACCCCTCCATCGGAGAAGTGAGAGACGTGGTAGTCCTAGATAATCTAAACTAGGCTTAGGCCCTACGCTGGCCTATCACACAATGCGTTGGGCTTGTCTGCGCATGTAATACCCTCCCTACTCAGTTGCTCCGGCCTTCATTGTTGACACACACAGGCTCTCCCATTCTTTGTTTCGTTAGATTGCCAACAAGTTTCTCAACTGGCGAGGTTTTACATTATGTATAATTGGCCTATACGCTGTGCACAGCAGCAGGAATATCCCGCTATACTGACTCGCACGTACATCTGATTGCGCTATAGCAGTATTTTATTTACAAAGATAAAGAAGAGAAAAAAAACAGTGTTTTAGAAGAGTGTCTTTATAACAGACTTCTCTTTTTTTCCGGACTCGTTATAAGTGGACTCCACTGTAGTTATATCGCATAAAACTTCCTCTATGAGGCCTTTATTTTAAAAAAAAAAAAAGCAGAGAACCAGTTTTTGGAGAACACAAGCAGACATGTATCATTTTGTCTACTCAACAGTGAAGTGGTTCAAACAACACCTTTTGCTGGAAGTCATATAATACTGATGGCTCAGTTATAAGTGCTTGGATATGCACATGACATTTGTTACAGTCTTATTTCTTTATCATATTACCGGCTTTAAATATGAATATATCTAATATGCTGTGTTGTTGTTGGTTCAACCTGGTGCTGATTAAACTACTTTACTGCGTTATGTTCATCAATTCCTTTGTGATCTGCAGGAACCGTTGGCACTTCCAAAGCCATTCTGTATGACATTTCTGATAACTCCAACCAGGCCATTGGTATGGCTTTCCTCTCCATTGCCTGGGCTTTAGGGCTGATCATTGGACCTCTTATGGGAGGTATGTTGAAGGTCTATTACAAGTTGATTCAGTATGACGTTAAGAATGTTGTCAGAGTATGTCGCTGTGATTGCTATTGCTAGTGCATCACTCTGCTATGAAGTAATTGTAAGTGTTTAACATCATGCATTGATACCATTTGGATCATTAGGGAGGCAGGCTACTTTGATAATGCCTGTTAGGGCCAACCTGGACTTAATGAGATACAAGGTCTCAACAGAGATTCGGAGATACTCGATAGCGAAGAGTCGTAACACTTTACAGCTGACACCAGTTCTACACAGTATGGATCTACAGTATTCAAGAGAATTAAGATTTATTTCTTTTGAAATAACAATGTCATATCCTCTCTATCACGTAGCCAACGATTGTTCTATATGATGGATTCATTATTGACTGAAAAGCCACATTTGGCTCTGGGAAGATGAAGAAACCATGTTAATCTGTCAGTGGCAAAGCTTTATTTTGTTAATTGAAAGGTTCATTTCTTTATCCAAAGTGTATACATGTATTTGTTTAAAGCAGAGCAAAGTATTCAGGTTAACTTTTGACTTTCTTATTTTCGAAGATAGTGTCAGCCTGGCTGAAGTTACCTCCCCCTGTTGTTACTTGGAACATAAAACAAAGGTTTAACACTACTAACCTTCTGTCTGCATGCTACTATAACAGGAATTAGCCAAACCTGTTCCTCTCTGTGTTGTGATCCTTTCCGCAGCTTTGGGGCCCCGATGCGTTGGAATCTCACACTTCACACACAAATGAACCGAGGCTCTAACTAGCCTTTTTCACCACCTATACTCTCAGCAGGCCTCCTCTGCCTTGATACAACTCTCTCCTCTCAAAGTCCCACCAGTAGTAACTCAGACTGCTTTTATAAACTTGCAAACAATACAACTGAACACAGACTCACACTTTACTCACTCTCACACTTTCAGCCAAACAATACAATAGGCTAGGCCTAACCCCCTGCCACAACCAAAAACAATCAAATACACCACAAAAGTGTATACATGTATTTGTTTAAAGCAGAGCAAAGTATTCAGGTTAACTTTTGACATTCTTATTTTCGACGATAGTGTCAGCCTGGCTGAAGTTGCCTCCCCCTTCCTCTGATATCTCATACAACCTGTAAATGTTCATAGTTCCCAAAAGGTAGCTTACCTTATTGTCATTTAGGGCATAAAACATTTACAACTACGGCCAAAGCTGATCAAGGTAACTACTCTTTATTGATGAGAAAAAGTCTCATCTTTGAGAGGTGGTCTTCTTGGGCTGGACAGACGAAAATCAAGAAAAAACAATTCACTTCTGAGGTCCTTAGGCCTACCTGAGGTGATTGCTGTCTTATGACTCAATGAAAATGTATCTTTTTGAGGGAGGGGGGAAAAGAGAGTTTGGTTTTTGTTTGTTGTTGTTATTGGTTTGATATGTTTATTGTTGTGTTGGACAGATTTTAATGGACCGATGATTGATAAAGATATGCATACAGGTCACTGTCGTGTGGACAAGTTGTCATCTTGGACGGTGTCAATATATAAAAAATACAAAAGGGTGGAAGGGGGAAGTGGTTGTCTTGGACAGGTGATCACTAAAAAAGATTTGACTGTATAATCATTAGTGCTGTCTTTTATTTGTTTTCCCCTCAGGAGTCCTTGCATCTCCTGCCGTCAAGTATCCTAGTGTGTTTGATGCTGATGGTATCTTTGGGGAATTTCCTTACTTGTTAACAACCTTGTTCCCACTGATCACTTGTATCCTGATCTTCCTCTTCATACTTGTGAAATTTGATGAGACTTTTGTTTCTGAAGTGAAGAGGTATTCCTTTGATCATCATCATCATCATCATCATCATCCTTTGTAACCCCATGTTGGAATAATATAGTAGGCCTATAGGTCACCAACAGGAGCTCTCCATCAAGTTCTCTCCTGGGCTTTTTGTCTACACCTTCTGTCCAGCTGCATCCCCTCTCCTGAGGTTCAAATCAAAGTCTCTCCTCCAAGTACTTGTATGCCTTCCTCTCTTTCTATTTCCTTGTGGATTCCATCATAAGGCTTGTGAGTCATGTTTAACCGAACATGATGCATGCTACTTGCTTCCATTCTTTGACATTTTGTGAGAATTGTATCTTAAAAGTTAACAGACATTCTTTTAATCTATTTGCAGATACACTATTTTTTTTTCAACAAACTTTTGTTCAGACAGATTTGAATTAAATTTAAGCTCGAGTTTGGAATTCACAACCATGTTCTGTTTAATTTTCACTTATCTGGAATGAAGGAAATCATATAACAGGCGGTAAGGAAACCAGAATGAGGAAATAAAAGTCACAGAACATGGTGGTAGTGTCCTTAAGGATAGATTTATCTTTAAAGGAAGTCATTTATTCATTAGTGTTTGTTCTTCAGTGGCTTCTTTCTTTGTGTTTTTTTTTCATAGTCAAAGTAAGATATTCATTTTTTTTAGGGTTGATGTTTCCATGACTTGTGAAGGATATAAGAAATTGGCTAGTTTGTAGGCTACATAATCTTTATAAAGGTAATTGATGAATTATCAGCACGGTTGAAATTTATTTCATCTTTCAGTGTACTAATTTTCAGAATGCAGCATGGCAGTGCATTTCGTACATCTGTGCTGGTTGGCTGAGAGAGTGTTTATTAAATGGGGATACCCGGTTCATAATTGTGCTGACTGTGCTGAGGTATAAATTACCTGATTTTCTGTTCCTCAGGAAAAAGACAACTGTTGTTTATGTTGAAAAGGAAGAAGAGGACAATCCATCTTTGAAGAAGGAAGCAGGCGACTGTTCTGAGTGGACAATATTACATGCTAAAGATGCTTGGACATCTCAGAGTTCTATGCACAACCTGGGTCAGTCTATCCAGTCCTTTAGCCTGGAGGCAGAGCCACTGGGCCTTTTGGCCTTGCAGATGGGCCGTAAAGAGCAGAGTTATGAGCCCGATACATCACTACCGGTCCGGAGACAGCATATGCAGTCACAACCTAATCTTTCTGTGGATGTGACAGCAGATTTAAAGGATGAATTTGTAAGCCAAAAACTACCCTCTCAGTATTCAAAGTCTACTCCAAATGTATTTGACTTAGAATATGAGAAGGCTTCATTAAAACAGATATTTGAGGGAGTGAACAGCAGCACTAATGAAGGCCAGCTTGATTGGTCCGTCACTACAACAAATCCACGTGTGAGGAATGGTTACAATGATGGTCAAAACCCCAATGGCTGTGTAAAAACTGCTGACATTGAAAGCAACCCATGGAGAAGTAAAACATCAGGGGTCGCACAAAGCACTGGGATAAATGGTGATGTGAACGGCAAAGACGACCCAGTGGCTGCGGAGAAGGGAGATAGAAGCCGGCAGGTGTTACTGCAGGTATCGGAGGAGAGAGAGGAGAGTGTGTGCTCCTGTATGGTGTGGTGTTGTCGCACTCCGTGCTGTCGGCCAGCGTCTGGTTCTAGCCTAGCTAAACTGCTGCTGTAAGTCCTAGCCTCCTAGCAATAGTTCAACATTTTTTGTCATGTTTAAGAATGAGTGAAAAAGGATTTGTGTGTGTGTGGGGGGGGGGGGGGGGGCATGAAAGTCTGCAGGGTAACAATCTGTCCTCTGTAAGAATGAAAGAGTTCAAAAGAACGGAAAGAGAATGGAAATAATAGTATGTTGATATTCAGTATCGTAAGTTCAGACTCTTTCAAATTGTTTGACTTTGAAGTATATGTACCGTTTAACATTTATTCTCCTCGTCTCTGTCTTTTTTTCAGTCAGTCTGTTGGGCTTTTTCTTCCTTCTTCCCTCCCTCTTTCTCTCTCTCTCTCTCTCTCTCTCTCTCTCTCTCTCTCTCTCTCTCTCTCTCTCTCTCTCTCTCTCTCTCTCTCTCTCTCTCTCTCTCTCTCTCTCTCCCTCCCTCTCTCTCTCCCTCCCTCCCTCCCTCTCTCTCTCTCTCTTGGTAATAATAATATCAATGTTGTTATGGGAAAGGGAAACATACTATACAAACTTGATCATTGGTGTTCTGATGTTTTACCAAAGCTTAGAAGTCAGATAGTTTTACCTTTATAAATAAAATGCAGTTGTTCTTTTCATCTCCCTAGATATACAGACGTCTGGGCTGCCATAATGCTATATACTGTGTTATCCTTCACCACTATTGGCGTTGAGGACATATTTCCTGTTTTTGCCTCAACACGGAAAGACCTTGGTAAGAGATTGTTGAAACTGAGATGAGCTGTAGTTGATGTAGACACTACACAGCACAACAAGGGCAGCATTTATCTCAGAATAGATGGGAAAAAAAGCAAGTAAAACAGAAAAGTTGAAGAACCAGGTTATGAAGCAGGTTACAAATTGCAACTTATTAGTATGTTCCAAGCGACAAACCCTCTCATGTACAAAGTGAGACACACATAACTAGAACATGGGCCAGACTTTCCTTCAATCTAGTCATGTGAGGGTGGTTGCTGGGTGTTAAGGTATTCTCAGGCAATTCATGGCAGCAAAGGTTGCTGTTAAAGGGAAAAGTACAAACTTCAAAGTTGATGTTTTGCCAAAGCTTAGAGGTCAGATGATTGTGCCTGTATAATATTACAGTTGTCCTGATCATCTCCTCAGATATTCAGTCATCTGGGCTTTCATCTTCATTTTTTTTCATATTATAGGAAAATTCCATTTAATTTGTTCACTTTTGTCTGTCTGCAATTAAAATAAGATAAAAACAAATCTCACGTCTTTTCATACATATGTAAATGTTAAATGACCTGTAGAATCTAAAAGTCCCTGTTTATCTCTGAGAGAGGTAAACCCACCATGCTGAGGCCCTTCTTTTGGTACAAAATCTGAAATTGACATACATGTCACTAAATTGGTAATTAAATCAAGACTAGTGAACCTATGTTGATAGTTCTTCATCAAATGAGTGAAATCCCGGTAAAAGAAACCTGTTTTCGGCAATATTTGATGTGGAAGCCGTTGTAAAGGAATGTACCCGAGTTACTGCCAGCGGCTGAGCGGCACAGTGGTTCTGACTACAAGCCGCTTGCCGGAGAAAAGGAGTTAATAAAGGTCACTGCAAAGTAAGATTCCGACACGTGTTCTTTGATGTTAACCTAAAGCAAATTTTTAAAAAGATAAAGGATTCATAGCATATAGCTAAAACATAAAAAGTTGGTCATTTTCATCAACACCACACTTTGACGCATGCCTATGAAACATGGTCCACCAGACATGATGAGTACTGATCAGACACAAGTGGAGATGTCAAGACAATCTTGGGAGGAAATAGGAAAGCTTAAATTGAGAACGAGGAAGAAGAAGAAGCAGGCTTCCACTGGTCTAAGGGGTTGGGTGGTGTTGCTCTCTCAAAATAATCAATTTGTAGGCTAGGTTAATGTAAATATTATTTATTGAAACAATCCTGTGTATGGGCCGAACAGGCAGTATTTAACTTTTTTTTTTTCACGCAGACAGACCAAAGTGAACAAACTATACACAAGCTTACGTTGCTGAAAGATAGAGGTTGCTCTTATCTGGGTTAGTGTTAAGTGAACATGGAACATCACTACAAAAACTAAATTTTGAAAAAAATTGCGATACGGTGATACGGTTCATAGAACCTACGTGTCTCTTATTATGTTGGACTTCATGATCCAATGTGTTACTTTTATTGGTGTTTATTACCGATTATGTGTTACTTTTAATGTTCACACATCAATAGTGTTGAGTGAAGGAAGATTTTTTTCCCTATCTCTTCAGGTGGGCTCGGCTTCAGCACTGATGAAATTGGAGTTGCTATTGGAACAATGACAATACCACTGCTGGTTCTGCAGCTCAAACTGTTTCCTTTTCTGGAGGAGAAAATGGGAGTGCGCAGGGTATGTGAGAAAAATACTACCACGCTAAATCGTTGGCAAGCTGCCCACAATGCAAAATTTTTCAAAAGAGTAAAGAAAGTTTTATATTTCTTTTCAAATTGTATGAAAATTATATATCTTTTCTTGTTTTATTCAACATAGAATTTGAAGTTCCACAAAATGTTTCTGGACCACATGCTACTGATAGCACTGAGTAAGAAACTGGAGAAAAAAAAATTGTATTTTGAAAATTTTGTGCTTGGTACATCTGAACAACTGGAGGACAAAATGCTTCCATTTTTATTTCAGAAGAGCAAATTATAGCACACCATTTGGCGTTTCTCCTTTTGTCTTTGGCATGGCCATATCCCGCCTTAGTTTTGTTTATTGGAGGGCATTACTCCTTTTGTCTTCCACTGTTGTTTCAGTCTGTCTATCTTGCCTTCGCCCCTTCAGGTGGGTGCCTCATGCCCCATAGTTTTACTCGGGGGGGCGCAAAGAATACACATGCCGTGAAACTGCGTGTCGTAAGAGGCAATTAAAGATGCATAGGTCTGGTCGCCTGAAGAGTGCCAGTTTGCAGAGGGCTAACTACCCGACTCAGTAACAACGGGAAGTTATACAAACACGAGCAAACACGCCTTATTATTTTTCCATCTTGGGAGACGGACGAGCTTCTGTATCAGCAGGAACAATGAAAGACAACGGACAAAGCTGAAAGGACTCTTTTGACCCAAAACCCTCTGTCAAACAAGTCACTCTGGATTGCGTCCAGAAATGTTTGCACCTTGTATGAAGCAGGAAAGAGTTTTCAAGTCGTACAAGAGATGAAGAGATACAGGCTGCATATACTAGGAGTCAGCGAAACACACTGGATACAGTCTGGACAGAAGCAGCTCAGCTCGGGGGAACAAGTATTGTATTCTGGGAGGGAAGACAAGCACCATGCTGAAGGAGTTGGAATTATTTTGAGTAAGTATGCACAGAAGTCACCTAGAGGATGGGAACCAGGGGGGGGAAGGATCATTATGGCTTCATTCACTACAAGGAGTGGAAGACATGGAGTGACAGTGACAAGCCCAGGATAGGGAAAGGTGGAAAGTGTTTGTTCATGGCCTATATATATGTATATATATATATCCTGATCCAGGGTGAGATTTATTTCTCTTTTCTAAATAACTGATATTCTATTGATTTCCTCTTTACTCAAACTATCCCAGTTTTTATTGGGTTTTTTAATTCTCTTACTCATACTCCAACACAGAACCAAACGCCCTAAATGAATTACTCTTCACTGAGGACCAAAGCCTGACACTCAAAGATGAACAAAGTCTCCAACACCACCCCACCAGATTAAACAAAGTATATAACAACTACAACATGAAGATCACCATCTACAAAACAGAGACAATGAAAGTAAGCAGAAATCCAGGACCACTCAGGATACACATCAACAACAACAGTCTCAGACAGGTCCAAGAATTTAAGTACCTTGGTAGTATAGATCTATATTCACAGAGGACGGGCGACTGAACAGAGAAATTGAAACACGAGTACAAAAGGCCAATAATGTTAGTTACCAGCTTACTCCACTACTGAAACATCCTAACATCCCCATGACAACAAAACTCAAAATGATCAAAACCATATTCATCCCAACACTCACCTATCAATGCCAAACATAGACCACGAACAAGACTTTGGAGCAAAGAATTACAACATGTGAAATGCGATGCCTTAGAAAAGCAGTAAACAAGACCAAGTGAGACAAAATTAGAAACTCAGCAGTCAGAGAAATGGGGGGGTACAAATGATGTCATGCATAACATCCAACACTCAAGAGTCCAGTGGTTCAGACATCTCATGCGATTACCAACCCACCATCCAGCACAATGTGCCTACATAAAAAAATTCAATGGCAACATGGCTAGAGGGTGACTGGAAAGACTAACTACTCGTGGCATCCCTCTGACCCAAGCTCTCCGGCTGGCGACAGAGAGAGGTCTCTTTCTTCCCGTGACACCCAAAAGGGTGTAAGCGGGGGATAAAAGCAAAAGTACTCTTACTCTCTCTCCTTCCCGCTGGCTCTTTCTGTCTCGCTCCTCTTTATCGCTTTTCACACGCACACAAACACACACACACACACGCGCGCGCGCACGCACGCACACACACACACACACACACACACACACACACACACACACACACACACACTCCCTCCCTCCCTCCTCAAAGGCTCTCTTTCTTGCTTTATCTCCTCTTATTCCATTTATCTCTTGTGCTCTTATTATAATCTCTCTTTCTCAACTCATAACCTGCAGTCTTTCTTTTCATTCTAACAAGATCTGCCTAGCAATGTTGAAATCATAATTCTTTGTTCTCTTTTTGTTAAATCAACACACATGGACTGGCTACTGTCAATGTAACAGGCAATGACGGGCAACACATTCTTAATTTGATTCAGTTATAACATGTCTGTCCTTATCAGGTAACGATGCTTAGCTGTGTCGTGTGTCTCGTGACCTGCCAGATGCTGCCACTTGTTAGACTGCTCAGTGACAAGTAAGTATTGATTGCTCATTTATATTTCTGAGTGTTGATTACCCATTTATGAGTTAGTGTTAATTACCCATAAATAAGTAAATTTTAATGTTGATCACCCATTTATAAGTAAGTGTAGGCTACCCATTAACAAGTACGAAAGTGAGAATCCTTTGATAGTGCCCACAGTAAGGTCAAACGAAATGTTTGGAAGAGTTTTTTGTTCCCATGTCCCAAAGATTTAGAATTTTCTCCTGAAAGACACATTTTATGTCATTAGAGAGAGAATTTAAGAAAAGGTTTAAGTCATATTTATTCAACACTATCCTCTGCCAGTAGTTTTTGTTTGGAAGTCGTGTGTGTATACTCTCGTATATCCATTGCTTAGTGAATGTCACCCCCACTCGTCATTTTGATAAGTGACATATGACAGTGGATATGTGTGTGAGGCATCATGGTGAAATGAGGCGCTCATCAAAATAATGAAATCGAAGAAATCGTCATTTTTTTGGGCTGAAAGGCAATTTTTTTCTTATTTTCTTTTTTTGACTCAACACCTTTTATGTCCATTTAAGATCACATTTTTATGTGGATTTTACTGGAAAAACATTGATTAAAGGCTCAAAAAATGTAAATTTTCCGTTTCCAAAGACTCTCAGGCAATGGAAGTTGTCAAACTTTGGCGCCCATTTTCTCTCTAATTTTACCTCTGAAACCAGGCGACTCTGACCTCCTTCAATTGCAAATACTTTGATTTCTATTCAACATACGTGGATATTTTTTCCACCAAAAGGAAGGCAAATGAACGGGCTTTAAGATGATACCAATAACCCGATATGGCCAAAGATTGACGAGTGCCTGATTCCACCACGTCGTGACGCAAATAGTCTCCAATAAACATATTTCGTCTTTTGATTTGTAATTATTTCGTCTTTTGATTTGTAATTATTGTAACAATAAAATGAATACCATTTTTATAGCACATCATCCCACTCATCAGCAAATGCTATATGCTTTACAGGCCTTATTACTCAAACAGACGCTAGAACACTCAAAAACATTAGCTTCCATGGCATACTGTGCAAGCAACTGATTAAGCGTTTAACACATACCACAGACGAGTATTCTTGTGAGCGAAATGACCTAGATCCAAACAAAGGCTTGTTGATGATTCTCCAATCATATAATTGGGGTTTTCATTAAGCCAGTATTAGTTCCGTTTAGATATTTTGCTTCCAATTTCTGGCAACTGAAATGGGGAAAGCAATAAAATGAGTTTAGACAAGATATTTCACCAAACATCAGGTGCTCACATAGTCAGAAAGCAAGCAGCAACCCTGGTCCTGGGGAACTGAAAGTCAAGTGTGAGGCCAGTCCTGTAGGTGTTAAAGTGTTCAGCTACAGCACCATGATCAGCCCGTTCTGATTTCAGGACAAGGACAGTAAAACCATGACGATCACGTCAGATGGATATCTCATCATGCTGAAAAAATTTAGGAGAAGTTTGGGGATGAGATTGTGGCACGAGGCCACATCCCACAAATCAGCAGTTCCCCTTGTAAGGTTGCAAGAAAGGTTAGGGGAACGCCTTATAAACAAAAAATTTACAAATGAATGGTTACATTACCACATCCCCACCCCATTCCCCAACTGAACCCCTTCAATGATGAAAAAAGTAAAGTTGTTCCCGCATCCGATCCAGACATTGGGGAGTGCCTTTTTAGTGAGACAAGTTCCTGGGCCTTCAGCATATTATGGTAGGGTTGCCAGTTCTTTTCCACGCGGCCTTTACTTCCCCAACTCGAAGTCAGGTACCCATTACTGCTAGGTGGGCAGGAGGGGGCAAAAAAAATCTGTGTCCGAAAAGAGGCTCGATTCCGGACTTTCCACTTTGGAGACAAGCGCACCCTTCAATTATTACCTTAGGGAATTTTTAAAAGAAAATTTATGAATACAACCCACAAACAATCAAACAGTTGAAACTCAATGTTGAACTCAAAGAATTTACCCAGAAACATGCTACGGTTTTTTTTCGAAATTTTCAGTGGCGTATTGGAGCTTGTTTGGAGAGAAATGGTCAACACCTGGAGATTTAAATAGCCATTACCTCCTTGAGTTTATTTGGCAATACCTATGTGGTACAGTCTGAAATTTTTAAAACATGGTTGATTTTTTAAATACTGACAAATGTAATGTCCCCTGGTTGAATTTTATTTCTTCAAAGTTTTAATGCAATGTCACTTATAGAAATATTTATTAGAAAACAAGTCAACAAGGTCATGCAAAGTGCTTGCTCTACACACCCACCCCCGCCCTCTTTTTTTTTTAACCAAGGATTTTCATAACATTTTCATTTACACGCTACAGCAACCAACAATAATAGCTATTGCAATGTGACATGCCTTTTATACTAGCCCACAACCCTCTCGTATGCTATAAAAGACATATTTTGATTCCAAAATCAGTTCCATTTTAAGTTAGTGCGTATGTATATATATATATATATATATATATATAATAGCCTACTGGGTGAATATCTGATATGCTGATGGGGGCTCAACATGTGTGAAATCAAGAACTAGTAGGGAACCAAAGTGTTTTGCTTTCAAAAACCGTTGGTTGTTGTATTGAGACTGATTTATTATCGGAGACTGGCGTGGCAGGTAATCCAAGTAAGACACCATGGTGTGTTGTAATATTCAGGTTTTTAAATGTTAATGAAAAATCCAATACTCGATTACTTCCCCTTTGTCTAGCCTAATTTGTATGCTGTATTTTTTCAGGAAAAATCACTCATAGTAAGGGCTGGTATTTGTACAGAAGCTTTTTGCCTTGTGTTGATCTCTCACATCTTGGGGTTATTAAAACAGTCTCTTAGTATGGCATGGATTAATGATCTTTCAACGTTAGAGAGGTGTTAGAAATGAGACCTCCATTCTTAAAGCAACAACCTTCAAGCTCTCCTCAGCAGCCTTTGTTTGAAAACGTTCCAATTGGGATTTGAAACAGGGTGTTTCATTGAACTATCCAGCATGCTACTTAATGAATGAACGCTGCTGTCCTCTCGGATTCACTGTGTTCGTTTTTTTGCAGCCCCATTTGGCTGTGGTTTTGTCTGTTCCTGATCCAGTTGCCAAACAAGATAGCCGTCAATAGCTGTTTTGCAGGCTCAGCACTGCTCATCAATAACTGTGCAGCGCAAGAGCTTGCTGGACAGGTGAATGGGCTGGCCATGATGAGCACTGCCATTGGGAGGTGAGTGGGGCTGGTACTGCCAGTCATCTGTGGAAGGGATGATTATTGATTAGGAGACGACAGAAAGAGAGAGAACGAGGAATGGAAGAAGATGAAGTGAGATAGGTTGTTTGTTGGGGGTTTTTTTTGGGGGGGGGGGGTTTGGCTGGGTCAAAAGGGGCGCAGGAATGAAGAAAAAAAGAGGGGGGGGGGGGTGGAGAAATCATCAGAGAGAAAGGATGGGAGAAGACAGGACAGTAAAACAGACAGGTAGGAAAGGAAGGGAAGTGCTGGATGAGGTGTGGGTAGTACCATCAATGACACAAGTGAAGTCCAAGGTCAAAATATCATCTATGTCACTAGCCACATCTTTAGGCCATTTGTGACATCTTTAGGTCAAATATCATCCATATCACTAGACACATTTTTTTGACAAATGTCATCTATGTCACTAGCAACATCTTTTGGTCAAATATCATCTATGTATCTATGTCACTAGCAACTTCTTTAGGTCAAATATCATCTATGTATCTGTGTCACTAGCAACTTCTTTAGGTCAAATATCATCTATGTATCTATGTCACTAATAATATCTTTTGGTCCAATACAGTGGAGTCCACTTATAACAAGTCCTGAAAAATCGAGAAGTCTGTTATAAAGACACTATTCTAAAACCCAGTTTTTTTCCCCTCTTTATCTTTGTAAATAAAATACTGCTATAGCGTAATCAGACAAACACCCGAGTCAGTTATAGCGGAATATTGCTTCTGCTCTGCGCAGCGTATAGGCCATTTATACGACATGTAAAACCTCACCAGTTGAGAAAATTGTTGGTGGTCAAGCAAAACAAAGAATGGGAGAGCCAACGTGTGCCAACAATGAAGGCGAAAGCCGGAGCGAATGAGTTGGGAGGGTGTGGCATGTGCAGACAAGCAAAACGCATCGCATGATAGGCCTACGTGATAGATTATCTAGGCCTATCATGCCTCTCACTCCTCCGATGCGGGGATGGAGAGGTCACAGTGCTGTGATGGATGGCGCAAGCAGACGGAACGCACCTCAGAGTGTGGTGGGGTGGGAGACAACACAGCGGGCGAGTTAAACTAAAGAACTTTCTTTCTTAACATCACTAGCGCTGGAGAAAGAAACCTGATTTGATTTTTGATCAAGTAAGACCAAGAGGTCATGTTTGAGCAAAATCATCATCTGGGGAGATAACAAAAAGGAATAAACAGAACGCCAAACTCATAGATTAGGCCTACTTTACTATTTCCCTTGAATTTATTACTGGATCCCTTATAACGAAAGTCCTGCTATAACGGACATTTCGCACCAGTCCCCTCCCTCTCGTTATAACACTGTATCATCTATGTATCTATGTCACTAGCGATATCTTTTGGTCAAGTATCATCTATGTATCTATGTCGCTAGCGATATCTTTTGGTCAAGTATCATCTATGTATCTATATCACTGGTGATATCTTTAGGTCGAATATCTATGGTGACATTTTTAGGTCAAATATCATCTATGTCACTAGTGGTGATATCCTTAGGTCAAAATATAATATACCGAGTATGTCACTAACGACGTCATAAGGTCATCATTTGCCAAAGTGTGATTGATTTGTTTTACCTCAGGTCAGTTGCTCCTGTATTTGCCGGTGGTCTCTTCACTTGGACTGTCACCTACGGCCCTGGCATCGGCTTCCCTTTTGACACAAGTTTCCCGTTCTTTGTATTAGGAATGATCTACATCATAACAGTCTTTGAATGCCTCCATATCAATGCCAGACTGGACAAGCAGAAAAAATGATGAGCCAAGGAATTATTCTTGTGACCATGAATTGGGAATACTGGCTGATTTGGGAATTTGCTTTACTGCTTTGCATCAAGTTGAGAGGACTGAGCCCATTCAACAGTTGAGCAAACAAACTGGTGTGTAACACTTTAGAATAGTGTGTCTCCCTGGCTACCTTATCAGTTGTGTAAGGTACCAGCCTGATTCCGTAACTTTTGGCTTTTAAAGAATGTTGGACATTTATGTTCGGCTGCATGAGTTTATTGATATTTTATGTTCATGAGAGAAAAGGAAGAAAGCAGAGGCTCACTTGAATCAAAGAGATAATGTTTTGTGTGTTTTTCTCTTCAAAACTCCATGACATATTATCATAATGTTTCATGATCAAAGTTGTCTTGTCAAGTGATTGGTGACATTATTAATTTCTGAAACACATCACTTCCTTTTGTAAGCCTAGTGAATACTGGGTGTGAATTCAAGTGACTGAGAAAAGATCATTAATTTTAAAGAAGAAAAGAAATATCAAGTCATGTGGCACCTGAATTGAGTTTATTAAATGTATGCCAGGGATAGACTCTAGCCTGTGCGAAATTTTTAAAAAGGCAGTCTTGTCTAGACCTATACTTATGTCTCTATAGATCTACACACCAGAAACAATGCTGAAAATATAAAAATAAATAAATCGCCCGTGCCTATGCTGTCTGTTGTTCTCGTAGTCATAACACACTGGGCTAAAAATAGGTTTAGCTGGTCTGACACGGTTCTTCACCGAGCAAAAACGCCTGGCCTGAAAGTGATAATATTTTGGTGGACGCGTAGACTTACTTGACTTGACAAAGTTTACAGATTGTTTTAAATGTAGAAGCTTGATTTTTATTTCCATCCCATTATACACACGCGTGTCGTGAAACGAGAGCCGTTACTACATGCAGTTTGGCAGTTTGGTATATGTTACCACCACTTGTGCTCGTAAAAACATGTTTTTTGTTTCTCAAATGGACACTTTGTAAAAATTTGCTGCTACTCTTTCTCTCCCAATGACCAGCGTAAATTTAACATGCAGTATCAAATTTATATAAGTGAATCATCTTGTTGTATAAAATCTCTGATAATGACTGCTTGGAAGACATTTGTCTAACATTCAGATGCTATTACCCTTTCTGCTTCATGTGCACTTGATCTCAGTTTTTACCTGATATATATATATAGGCCTTTCAAAGTAGTGACAAATTAATATGTCTACTCTGTGGCAATCGAATACTTTGGTAAGTCAACATAGCCCGCAGTTTTGTCAGAAACATAATTATGTAAGGGAATTTTGCTGTCACAAGTTGTAGAAGTTGAAGTAGGGTTCCCCTGCTCTACCTCTTTGATTCTGAGCTTTATTATTTGTTATTCGTATGATATTGAAATTGTCTTGTACGTTATAGTTTCTGTACAGAAAATTTGTGTATTTCACTTTCTGAATCTGTATGTTCCTTGGACATATTTTATAAATGCATTGCCGGCTGTGCCCCAGCCATCGGAGAAACTACTTGATTGAAAACTTTTATGGACAGAGAATATACGTTAATTCTTTTAATAATTGTACTTACATTTAATATCTCTTCTTGCTTTTTTCAACATTTGAATGTCAACGAAATATTTCTGTGTGGCACATGCAACCAATACCACAGACTTAACAAAAATGTCCAAATTTTTGGCTCAGTCCATTTGAACGGGTAGACGGCTATATATGTATCTCTGACTTAATTTGACAATGCTTATTGCCATATTGGATTTTTTAATACAATCTAATTTGGAAAGATAATTTTGAGAGAAGGTATACTTCTGTATGGTTGAAGGATATTTACTCCTAAACATTTTTTTCATATATGTCACGATGCGGTGAATCGGGCGCTCATCGGTTTTTAGGCATGTGGAGTTAATGGTCTCATATTAAAGCTTGTTCATTTGTCTTGCTTTCGATGAAAAAAAAACAACCCCATCTGTCTTGAATAGAAGTCAAGATATCTCTGATTGAAGAAGGCGTAAGTCGTCTGGTTTCAGAGGTAAAATTATCAAGAAAATGGTCGCCAGAGTTTTGTAATTTCCATAGCTTGAGAGTCCTTAGTAAATGAAAATTTACATTTTTTGTACCTTAATCAACTTTTTTCAGTAAAATCCGCTCAGAAATATCTTTTTAAACATTCAAAAGCAAAAAGACAAAAAAATTTGTTTAATGGTCATCTGGAGGAAAAATGCTGTTTTCTTTTATTTCATTACTTGGAAGGCCGCCTGCTTTCACCACAATGTTTCACACATTATGTGTTGTAGAATGTGATCTGACAACCCTGCCATGCAGGATATGATAGCTTACTATAATATGTGTCATGATGCAGTGAAATCAGGCAGTTGTCAGTTTTTGGGCATATGGAATTACTGATATCATCTTAAAGCTTGTTCGTTTGTCTTGCTTTTTATAAAAACAAGACCCATATATTGTGAACAGAGGTTGAGATATTTGCAATATGAAAGAGGTGGGGGGTCGTCTGGTTTCAGAGGTAAAATTATCAAGAAAATGGCCACCAAAGTTTGGTGACTTCCACAGCTTGAGAGTCATTGGAAACTGAAAATTTACATTCCACGTGCCTTTAGTCAACGTGTTTCAGTAAAATCTACTCATAAATGTCTTTTAGAATAGACAAAAGCACCCCACCCCAAAATTTTGATTAAATTTGCCCAAGCATTGGAAAAATGCCGTTTGTGGTGACTAACTTTAAACCAAATTGTTGAGGTGTGTTGTTGTGTGCAGTATGTCGCACTTGAGTTCATGAGTAACAGTTCAGTGAAAGTGTCCAAGCTGTTTGGGTGGAATGTATGAAAAAGTCCTGCAACGACTTACATGTGTGTGTCTCTCTTCATGCTACAGTTTCGATTAACATGATTTTGAAAAACGTATCGCCGTTACTAGAATCTAGGTTATGCTAAATTAAATCTAGATCTCTAGACAAGGTTACCTTAAATCACGTCGGGGTCACCAATGTAGCATGAAGAGAGACACATACATGTAACTCATTGCAGGACGAGACATAACTTTATAACATTCCACCCAAACAGCTTGGACACTTTCACTGAACTGTTACTCATGAACTCAAGTGAGACGTACAACACATAACAACAACAAACTTCAACAGTTTGGTTTCAGGTTTAGTCGTCAAACGTTCATTATTTTTATGAGCGCCTGATTTCATTTCTATGCCTCACACATATCTATTTGTTGGTATGTCTGTCTGTTTATCTATTTGCAAGTCAATCTTTCCTCATGCAGTGTTAGCTTGTTTCCATGAGGTATCATAGTCTAGTCAACAGTTTGAAGGAATTTCTGTCCAATATTTTGTTCACTTTTGACATTTTTACTATCTTTTAAGCTGTTTCATGACTTGACAAATTTGTACAACTTTTCTGTGATTTCGTGACAAAACTAAATCACCTGTACCTGCTAATTTGTATTTGAAAATAACTGATTTTATGTGCATTTATTTTAGTCAGGGATTTTATTTTAGTTTAGTTTACTGCTGTTTTCATATTAAATATATACGTGTGAGCCATTGCCAAACGGAGTGCTTATTGGCCCACAGGGGCATATATGATTTCCCCTAGACCATTTCTTATTTGCCCACAAAATTGCGAGTTATCTCCCCTGTATTTGGTATCTCTCTCCTCCCCCC